AATTTGAATTTATGCTACTAACTTAGTTTTGTATTCAACAACATTTTTTACATTGAAAAGCTCAAATTATTAATATAAGTAAATGAAACTACCCATTCAGTAATAAAAACGTGTTTAGGTTATGTATGGATTAAACAGTAAATTTGCATGAGTGAGAAAAAATAAATAAAAAGTCAAAATGTTTAAATTTAAAAAATAAAAAAAAATTGTAGAAAAATTTAATTGATTTAAAATAATAAAAATATTTTTTTTAATATTTGAAATTAGTTACTAGTTTAAATTTTTTTTTTTAATTAATTGGAATGCGTTCTTATTTATTAATACTTTTGATTCACCCTCCAAGCTTACCATATTTGTAACTAATTGTGTAGGGATTTTAGTTTATTATTCGGAATTCTAGGTTTTCTTTGGGTAACTGACAATTTAAATTTTTAAAATTTTTTTGTCATTATAAATAACTTAATTTATAAAAATAAGATTAATATATATTTTTACTTAGTTTGTCATGTTGTTATTTTGTGGATCAGTTACTAAATCCGTCATATATTAATAAAATAATTTAATAAATTATTTTTACTTAAAATATAATAAAAATTATATAAACTAAAGATAAAAAATAATTCAATTTAAAATAATTAATTAAAAATTTATTTTAAAAAATAAATTATTTAAATAACTAATTACAAATAATGTACAAATTTTTATTTTACATACTAATTAAAAAAATAAAATATAATAAAAAATTCCTAATAAAAATAAAACTATACATTAAAATTACATTATTAAAAAAATTAAAATGTATTAATAACTTACACTATAATATTAATATATTTAAATAAATTAAATTTTATTTAAATATAATTTATATATGATTATAAAAAAAACAACTGAAACTATGTTTATGTTTTAATTTTAATTCATATATAAATAAATATAATACTATTATTATTTTTAATATAATCGCTTATTCATATTTATATATTTGATTATCATATATTATAATCGATTATCTATATTCACATATTCGATTATATTCTTCAAAGTTTTTGATAAAATGTTTTATTTGAAAAATTACAATTTACGATTAAATTAAAGTTCATCTATAATCAATTAACACATGATAATATGCATGTATAAAATAATTAACGTACTTTCATATTAAAAATAAAAAGTAAATACAAGTAAAAATAAATAGAGATAACTAAAAATAATTTAAAAAATGAAAAGTGAGAGTTGTGTAAAATTTTGTCTAAGATAATATACATGTTCAAGGATAATATGGATAACAATTTTTTTACAAAGATTAATTATTAATAAAATTGATAAATATTTTGTCAATAACATAATTTTAAAAAATAATAATATTTTACTAGATTTGACCAAAAATATCAAGTTTAGCATTTATTAATTTTTATTTTATATTTGTGAATATTTTTAAGTATATAATAATAATAATAATTAATCATGATTCTAAAAAATATTTTATACAAATTAAATTTTTTAGAAAATTGTAATTTTTAACAATGATATATTTAATCTATCTTCATAACATAAGAAGATAAAAAATAATAATTTAAAAATAATTATACTATAATATACTAAAATCCTGAGATTGATTAGAAGAGTTTCTTTGGACAGTGTTATTTTTTATTAGTATTATTTCTAAGAGATGAAATTAAAAACACAATATATAAAGAAAAATAAGAAGGTGAAATGAAAATAGCAATAAGATAACACTCCAACAAGGGAGTAAATAGTTATGAAAATGAACTATATATATCTTTTATTATAATGGATTAACATATGAATATTAAAGTTAAATTAAAGGAGAATGTAATAATATATCCAGATGACTTTTTTATCCAAATCTCTGTTTTTTTAACAGGTAAAGTTTGCACAATATATTCTTACTATTTAGGCAAATCTTATGAAATCAATTGGTAGAAACATGTGTTAGATTCCAGTTTCTTCCCTCCTTTCATTTATCACAGTAATTCTATAAATCCAAAATGGGACCAACAGAGTTAGAGATTAGGTTTTAGTATTGACTGAAGTGCTACTTGATTGAGAAGTGATAGAATTCTCTATACAACTGTGTGGGTATATTTATATACACACAAAAACCCTGTACCGGGGTCCCACCTCACCCATCACAGTTTCAGATTAGGTTTTAGATTTTAGCCGCATCTGTTGTATTACACAAAAAGTAAAAGGTGGAGAAATAATTAGCGTCTGATAATAAATATATTGTTTTTTATTCTAGTCTATATATCTCAAAAGTACAAAGAAAATATTATTTTATAAAAAAATTTACTTAAATAAATTATTATTTTAATAAAATATTATAAATATAAATAATTATTAAAATCAAATAAATAATCTAATATATATATATATATATATTATTGTGATATTATTTTAATTTAAATATTGAAAAATTATAATAAAAATATTTTATTATTATATCAAAGTATATTATTGTAAAAAATATTAATTTAAAAAGTTACTTCAATAAAAAAATTAATAATTTTATAATAAAATAAATATTTAATTTTAATTAATTTATGTATTATTTTTTAATAAATATTTATATTTTTAAAAATAAGTAAATATGCTTTCTGCTGTATGAATAGCTAATCTAAGCAACTAACATTGATAGCTAAGTCTCTCAATTAGACGTGTTTGCATTAAATTCATGTTCAAGACTGTAATAATAATAATAATTTAAATATAATATATATATATATATATATTAATTTGAATAGTATTTATTATATTTTAATTATGAAAATATGTTTTTATGATTTTAAAATTAACTATTCCTCTTTCCATTTATTCGAATAATTCATTTGTATACACACAAAATCATTTTTATTGACCTAATTTTTAAGTTAATTATATAAATTTTTAAAAAATAAATACACGTAAGTGACTGATAATTTAAAGTTATTTTATTAGTATGACTTGTTTTTTTTATTAAAATAATTTTTGTTTACAACTAATCTCTGGACAGACACGACTACGAATGTGATATTGAGTCAAGATCATGCTCAGAAGTTTTTGATTGAGCACATTTTTTCTCCACTTCACTTTCCTCATCCTTATAATTGGATGATATTCATGTGACTTTTCAAATACTAATATTTTAATTAATTTAATATATTATTTGTGTTAATCTGATGTACCCGAATAAATTGTTAACTTACAACACAAGGAAAGTTTAGTTCCTTCCAATAACAAATCCTAAACTCACTACCAAACTTTATTTATTAAAAGAGAATAATAACTTAACAATTTGGCTTTAAAATACAATGTTTTTATGCGGAGTTAATATTATGTATGTAAGAAAGTTATTCACAATTTGATCATAATGATTACCTCTGAATAAATTAAATTATTAATAATTTTTAAAGAAATTTTGAAAATATAGAAAATTGAACTGATGTAAGAAATTATAAATAATTGGATATAGAAAATATTTTTCAAAATGATGAAAAAAAAGGTTGACCTGAACAAGAGTGGTCCTTTACTCTTAATATCTTTAATATGGAACAAGGAATTCAAAATTATGTTGGTTTTTTTGAAATTGTTTTGAAATCGTTGATTTTATTTTTTGAAAATGAAATTATTTAATTTATTTATTGTTTTGTCTAGTACAACTCAACTCCATATAATAATTGCATTATTATAATAGCTGTTAATTCAGAAAAATAATACTTTTGAATCGAGAAAGAAGTGAAAAATTAATATGGGTCGTGCCAAAATTAAATCATTATTGTTATACTTTTATTATTGTTATTGAAAATTTCATATTTTATAAACTGGTTTCGTGAAATTAAATTAAATTTTGTACTTATTTTTTAATATTACATTATAGTTTTTTTTTACCAATATTTAACCTATTATATCATCTATTATTAGATTATTGTTATTTTTTATGTGAATATATTCAAAATCAATTATATATATATATATAATTAAATTGTAATATATTTATGTGTATTTCATCTTATATTTCATTATTTTTTTAATATTATTTTAATCTATCTTAAACTAATTATGTTATTAATGTTAAAAAAATTATTTATTGCATGACTATAATGGTGAGAGAACACAGTAAGTATAATAAGGTGTGGGTATTGTCTCCACCATTTCTCATCCCTTCGTCTCTTATTTTTATTGAACTTAAAAATTAAGTTTTTATCTTCATTTTTATTAAATATTGAGTTTTCTCGTTTTCATTTTATCTCTAATTTATATTATTTAAAAAAATATTTACAATAAATTAATTTTATTATTTTAATATATTTTTTATATGTAAATAAATATTTATAATTTTATATTTTGTAATTATTATCAATTAAATATATTTTTTATTTTATTATATTTATATTAAAATATATGTAAAAAAATATAAAATATTTATAATATTATTATTATTATAATATATTCAAATAGTTAAATAATAATAATAATAATAATAATAATATTATTATTATAATTATATTCAAGTATTTAATTATATATATATATATATAAGTTAATTTATTTTTAATTACTTCAAAATAATAAAAGTTTAAATTATTGATTTTTTTAATCTTTAAAATATAATTATTTTATTAAAATAAAATTTAATATATAAATAAGAATAATAAAATCTAAAAAATATAATATAATAAAATTTAATAAATATAAATTATAAATAAAATAATATTAGCTATGTTAAAATTTAAAATATTTTAAAAAATAAAAATAAATAATTTTGTATTCATTAAATTAATTAAAAAGATAAAAAAAATTGATTAAAGAGATAAAAAAAAAAAAAAAATCAACTGCCTTTTTTTCGCGTGAGATCGGATCAATACCACTATTACGAATTTAATTGATCCTATAATAGAGCGTGGGGGCAATAATTTGAATAAAGTTCTTAGAAAAAGAGTTGTTAGTAGCGTGGGGCCAAAATAGTTTTGGAATTGCCACGTGTAGGAGGGCAGAGAATAATGATTGCGGATATAGGATTTAGAGCATGTGATAGTAAGGATGAGTGGGTGGGACTCTCGATTATGTTTTAGTGCTTTTAGCATGACTTTTAGTTTTGATCACATGCATTTAACGAAATTTTCTCCTCTTATTTCATTTTAAAAAAAATACATATGATATATTTTATAACAAATTATTTCATTATTATAAAAAACGCATATACAAAAAATAAATTATTTTATATAAAATTTGTTAATTTTATTTTAGCAATAATATTTTAAAATAAATATTTTTATTTAATTTGTTGATGTTTATTCTTAATTTATTTTTAAATAAAATACTTCAATATTTATATTTATTAGAAATTAAAAAATATATTGATAGAATAAAATTATTTTAATAAAGAATATACTTTTTATTTATCCAGTTAAATTATATTTTTAATGAGGTAAATAGTATTTATTTAATTATCTAATTAATATTTTTTATTTTAAATGAACCATATCAATTATAAGCTTTCTATTCATTTTTATTCATTTCTATTATCTTTCCAATAAATCAAACAATTTCATTTTCTACTTTCTTTCTTTTCATTTTTACCCCTCAAATTCACTTCTTAATCTAAATACATATTTAAAGTTAAAATAAACATCTTTCTATTTTTTTCACTTTTTTTCATACATTTAATCATAATCTACTTTATGATGATTAAATACATTTTAAATTTGTAAATTGATAACAATTTAAATAACAGTCATAAATTACAAATATTTGTTATTGTTCTTCTTGCACAACATCAATTTGGATAACAAAATATTCTTCAACTTGTTTTTCACTCTCAATTCATCTAATAGAAATTTTGCTAACATAAGAAAAAATAGTCTTCTCATTATAATTTTATCATTTGTTATCTTCTTTACAACGACTTTAAATGTATTGAAAACATTTATGACGAAAAAAACACTTTATGAAAAAAAAGGTAAATGAAAAATAAGAAAAATTATATGGTAATAAATAAAAAAGAAAAAGAGAAAGAAAAAAAGAAATAGAAACACATAGGCAGGTTAACAAAATGGATAAATAGATATTTATAATAAATAAATTTTTTATAACTATTATTATAAATGAAATACAATTACAACTATAAAAAATTTATTATTAATATTTGTTATTATTATTATAAATATATGATAACATTCATTTTATAATCATTATTGAATATACATTATAATAATTATATATACAACTATTTTTTAGTTAACATACATAACAATTATGAACAAATAATACTTAAAAATTGAAATTAATTTGAAAGATGTGCATGTAACTAGTTCCGTAATATTTTATTATTATATATTATAATAATATTATCGTGCAAGAAAACTTCGTAACGAAGTTTTTCTTATGAGCAAGTAAAATATTTTCTTTTATATATGTAGAGGGAGGAGGCAGAAAAAAATTGAACAAGTAGTTCTCTCTTTCATCTTTCTTCTTCTTTTATCTAAATTTCAAGCAACGAGACTCTACTCGTGCAGGATCTGGTGAAATGGAAGAGAACTTGAATTAAGTGAGAAAGTTTCGGTAGAAATACCACACCAGGTAAGGAGAAGTTTAATTCATTCAATATATGAGACTGAATTGTTGAGTACTCTGTGAATAAAGAATAAGAGTGGAAATCTGAACATTAGAATGATTGATTTTGAAGATTTCTCATGTTTTGCAAAACTTGAAATTTTGTTGGAATTCTTGAAATTAAGGATGAATTATATGGTAAAATTGTTGTTTTCAACTTAAATTAGATATAAGTCATGTTTAATTTGAATTTGGGACTAGTTTTGTTGTCTAAAACTGAGTAATTTAAAATCTGCTAAAATCTACAAAATTTGATACTCGTTATTGGACGTGAGAAAGAAGAAAGGGACATGGAAGAAATTTTTGAAAATGTTCAAGGGTAAAATAGTCATTTTCGGGACATAGAAGGGATTTTCGAAAATATTCAAGGGTAAAATAGTCATTTAGGGATATACATGGAATTTTCAGAAAAGATTAAGGGTAAAATAGTAATTTAATGATTTCGAAAATAATTTCGAAAAATGAAGTATATATATATATATATATATATATATATATATATATATATATATATATATTTAAAATATAGAATGAATGTAGCAGTTTTAAATATTCACCAGGTGTGTTGTGACGTGTGTGGGTCGACTGAGTCTAAGGGCTCATGCCGAGAATCAGTCATGAGATGTTATGTATTGACTAGACTGAGCCGGAGGGTTGATGCCCAGAATCAGTCAAATACTATTATTTATTGACTCGAATGAGCCGTGAGGACAAGTGGTCAGAATCCGGCAGATGTGAATGATTTTTGTTGTGTTTGAATGATACTCGGGGTGGTACAAAGTACATTAGTATAATAATTATGTCGAAGGATTTTGAATGAGGTCTCAGACTTCACTGATTGGTTGGGTCAAGTAGACTACGAGATCAGATTGTGAGAAGTCGATGGGGGATGACTGGTAGCGCGCTCGGAGGGGTACTCCAGTATAAGTGATGAAGGGCGTCAGTAATCCCACTCTGTGTGGAGGGTGATCAGAATGATACTGCGGTGCCCATCACAATGTGCCCACAGATGATAGCCTCTGAGTTCGAGCATAGTTAGGGTAGACTCCGAAAGACGTCTTAGTGTATTGATGATAATATGTAATTATTATTTTTATATCTGTTTTATTATATCGAATGATTTAATATTTACCTGCAACTACCTGGATAACAAGGATAGTTCAATGGATAGCTTTGTGGGAGTTACTTTTATATGTATCTATATAAATAAATTATATTACTATATTTTGAGGTTATGTCAATAAACCGAGATTTCAATTTATATTATAATTATAATAATATAATATAAATATTATTATTTATTTATTTACTATGTTACGAAGGTATTATCTAGAATCATTAGATAACGTGTTACTTAACCATTATCCGATAATCATTCTTACAATTATTTCTTCAACTTTGACAATTATTCTCTACTGGTATATCTCCTTCTCCGTCTTTTTTTTATTCGTTTTATTTCATTTATGAATGATGATTCGTTTAAGTAATGCAACGACTAATACCACTACTTTCAAAGCCAGAAATAAAAAACATTGATGGAATGTTCCGGGAGAAACTTAATTACAACGAAAACAAACATCGCAATACTTATTGTAGCAGCATAAAATAAAAATTATGATAATTATATAAAAATAAATATAATAAGTAAAATTTAATATGTTAACCATTTGAGTCATATAAAAAAAATTGTATTTTCTAAATGTGACCGAATTTATATTAAATTTATAATTAATATAATAAATTCAAAAATAACCAATATAAATAATATTTCTCACCTTTACAACTAACTGAACTAATTGATCTGTATATAAAATTATTTCCCACATTAATAAAAGAGTTGAAAAAAAAAGTGTTGATACACGTTATACGTAATAACATTTGAATCATAAAAGTGGTTACTGTGACGAAAATCTATCCATTAAGAAAAAAATTTATGAGTTAAAGTAAGAAGGGTTTCAAACATAATGTGAATAAAATATGGAAACATAATTAATGTAATTTAATCTAAAATATATGAATTAATATTTAAATTGTACGAAAATTCTACGGTTATATCAGTTTTTATGTTTTTATTTTATTTTATTTGAAGACAATTATACCAATTAATAACAAATTGATCTTAATAATGTTATCATAAAGGATATGAGATAAAAAAATATTTTTGTTCTTAAATAATTTATCGTGAGACTGAGAGTTGAGTCTCACATAGTTTTAAAATCAGGTTAAAAATAATTTATATATATTTTTCTCTTTTAATTTTTTGAAACATCTTTTAAAAATAAAATTGTGACAAATAAATTGTTTTTAAATAGACAATATCTCGAATATGAAAATTTATCCTAAAATTGTTCTAGGTACATAGACGGATCAGATATATATTAATATAAATAATGTTTATTAAAAAAAATTGTTAGTAGTTTAATAACATTAAATTAAACACATTAAACTAGTTAAAAAAAAAGTTTTAAGTTAATTGGTTTATCTACTTTATTAAATTTTTGTCACCCCTTTCTTAGTGTTAACTCTAGTATTTCTAAAATTCCTAGATGCTATATCTTATTATTTTTTCACACCTGAATGATCCAATTTACAAATGGATTTAGACAATGCCTTTTATTAATTGGCCCGTCACTGTAGCAGAACACCGCCATTTTCCTCAGCCCTCTTTCAAATAATACACACCAACCTACTCGTGGAATCATTGCACATACTAACGACATTATGGAAGCCAGGATCCTTCAATCAGAAAAAAATAAAAATAAAATGGAGCAAGGGGTTAAAGACACTTTTCTAAACTAATTATTTAATTGGGTTTTCTTTTTAATATATTTTTTATTTCTCTCACACATAATCCAAAACCCTCTCGTCAAATACAAAGAGCTCCTCTTCTATTTTGGTCCTTGTCTCTAAGTTTAACTCAATAATATAAAACTTAAAATACTTCCATTCACAACTACTCAAAGGGAAGTTCTTAACCTGTTCTGTTTCCTTCAGTGGTTGATATATAGATGCCATGCTCAGGTGTAGAGCTGTTGTTGATCGCTCTGCTATTCCTCGTTTTCCAAGTGTTCAGGCGATAGATAAACATGTTATGAAAAACAATTCAGCCACCAAATCCACGATTTTGGACCAAGAGCTGGCACAGAAGTGGGTTGTGCCTCGTCATCCTCTAAAGCCAATCTTTTCTAAGGTGATCCAAGTTGTGGTGTTTGAAACCCTGTAGGTTCATATTAATTTTACTTCGCTTTTGTAGATAATTTGAGTGCATATTACTATATTCAAATAAAAAAAATGTATAAATGTAGTTGTCATGAATTAACTAAGATCTTTTACGCAGGATACTCATTTTTGTGCTTGAGGGTTTTCTTTAATGGTTTCGGAATTCACGAGGGAGTTACTCCTGTTAATTAACTAAAAATAAAAATAAATATTTTATTATAAATTTTATAACATCAATTATTTAAAATTGAAAGGAAATTATAAAAATAATTAATTCTCGCTAAGTTTAATCATTCTTATAATCAACAACACTTAAAGATCTTCTTAGTCCCAAAACTCTTATTAAGAAATTTTTTTCAAAGATGTTTTTGTCCTGAGAGACAATTTTTTTCTGTAGTTGGATCGATTTAAAAATATATATAAAATAATAGAAGTAAAATCGTATTACCTATAAGAGTTTAATGTAATTATTTTATAATTAAAATAGTATTATTTAAAATGAGTTTAGAATAAAAAAAAATTCACAACTAAATTATTTTTTTATAAATATATTATTTAAAAAATTATCAAATTTATCTATTTTTTTATATAAATATATATATATATATATATATATATATATATATAAATGATAATGTCATGATAAAATTAAATTATATATATTTTGTTATATAACATGATATTATATATTATTTTTATTATTATATATATTATGTATTATATAAATAATAATTTTATTAATTATATTAATAATATGAAACTAATTAAAATATTATTTGAATGAGAAAGTGCAAAAACATATTTAATATTAACTTTAAAATAATTTTATATTTTAATGTATTAGAAACTATTTTTATTCAATGTAAAAATAATATAAGAAAATTTAAAATTAAAATTAAATTTATTAATATATATTTATTTTTTGTTTAAAATAAATAATTTTTTTAATTCTATTACTTATATATTACTTATACAAAATTTATATAACATAATAATTGATATAAATAAAATAAATAATTAATATAATATTTTATAACATAAATATATATACATAATAAAAAATAAATAAATTATTGATTTTTTAATAACATATTTATTTTAAAAAATAACTCATATAAAGAAAATTAACCAAAATAGTATTATGTAACATCATTTTAATTATATAAAAATATAACTAAAGTTTTATCCAGTTATATAAAAAAAATTACATTAAACTTATTATAAATAATATAATTTTAATTCTACAACCCTAAAATGGTCTTATGTTGCATAGTTTTGTCATTTTAAAATCGTGCATTTTATAACTTAGTTTAATGGAAAAGCCTACTATCTTCTTTATAAATATAAAAGTTTATATTATGTAATTTATACCTCATATTTTGCTATATAGTAGAATCCATGTTTTATATTTAAAATATTTTGATGTTATCCAATTATATAGTATATTATTATATATATTATTGTAAACAAGACTTTGAATAATTTTATTCTTCAACCTGTTGAAAGAAGTTTAAATCTTTTTATGAAAATTAACACCACAAGATTATCCCCAAATTACAGCAGACATAGTGACTATACAGAGTTCAATTTAAGATTCAAATCCTAAAACATGTTGGAAAAAATATAGGGGATTGCATCCCCTTTAATACACAATTGTACAACTACAGTTACGAATAACTCTCATATATCAATAAAAATTTAAATGTGAGCATAAGGGATAATTCTCTTAAAAAAATTTTAAATAATTTAATCCCTTTTGATATGGCATGTAACATGTTGGTGTAAGCACTTGGCTGAAATATAATTCACTAATTTTCCTACTCTTGGTCAACGCTTGTTTAGGACATTTAAGTGTTTGAGTTTGTGAAAGCCAATATATGGACTGGACTGGGCCTCAGACTAGTTTGTAACCAACTTAAATCTTAAAAAAACTTATATTTTGTTGACAGCACTTTTAATTCATGATATATGGCGTAACTTTTTATATATTTATAAAACCCAGTACCTTCGAGTTAGAGGCTGATACTCCAATCACTAAGCTTACTAGAATTTTTCGATAATAATTTACAAATAAATTATATTTATATATTTATATATTTATATATTTATATATTTATATATTTATATATTTATATATTTATATATTTATATATTTATATATTTATATATAATTAAATAAATATTTATTTTTTAAATTATTTAATTTAATAAATTATTATAAATTAATCTAATTATAATTAAATTAAATATATAAATATATGAATATATAAATATATAAATATATAATATATTTATATATTTATATATTTACATATTTATATATTTATATATTTATATATTTATATATTTAATTTAATTATAATTATATTAATTTATAATAATTTATTAAATTAAATAATTTAAAAAATAAATATTTAATTATATATAACTATATAAATATATAAATATATTTGTATATAAATATAATTTATTTGTAAATTATTATCGAAAAATTCTAGTAGCTTAGTGATTGGAGTATCGACCTCTAACTCTAAGGTACTGGGTTTGAATCTTGTCGACTGATTCCCGTCCGTTAGTAATTTCGTAACATATTTACCGACGGTCAAAATATTTTTTGTAGTGTGGTGGTAAAAGAATATATTCAAACATATGAGATTGATTATACAAAGACATTTATTTTCGTAAAAAAAATAAATTAATATTGTTTAAGTATTATTATCTTTAACAACAAATCTAGATTTACCATTGAAGCAATTTGATGTAAAGAATGCATTTTTACATGGGGGAATTAAATGAAGAAGTATATATAGAACTCCTACCGAGTTGCATGGTACTTGAAAAATATAATAGAAAGATATGCAAATTAGAAAAATCTTTGTATGGGTTGGAACCATCCCCACGAGCATGGTTTAGAAGGTTTCAAGATTTGACCATATTTGGATATGATCAAAGTAATACAGATCACACTTTATTCTTGAAAAAACAAGAAAGTAGGATAACTACACTTATTATATATGTGGATAATATGATTGTTACAGAAAATAATTAAGATAAAAGTAAAATGTTACAAGAGTATTTATCAAAAGAGTTTAAAATAAAAGATTTTGGTCCCTTATAATATTTTCTTGGGATTGAAGTATATATATTCAAGAAAAGAATTTTTGTCTCAAAGAAGACTTGTTACAAGAAACGGTATGTCAGTTTGTCAGCCAGCAAATACACAATTGGAGGAAGGTTTGAAATTTTTTATTACATTATATCAAGTCCTAATTGATAAATTGAGATATCAAATATTTGTAGGTAAATTGATGTACTTAGTACACACAAGATCAAATCTCGCTTACGTATTAAGTATTGTTAACCAATTTATACATAATCCTAGAGAGCAACATATGAATACAATTATGCATATTAAGATAATTATTCTTTGTTAAAAATACAAATTAACAACAAATCGGTGTATAAACTAATGTTGATTAAGTTAGATCATTGGAAGATACACAATCAATATCAGACTACTTTACATTTGTTGGTAGTAACCTTATTATATATAGAAGCAAAAAACAAAGTGGTCTCTTAATCGATCAATCGCAAAAGTTGAGTTTTGATGTTTGACATTTAGAATTTGTAAAGATTTATTATTAATTTTTCTCTTGCAAGATCTTGGATAACCTATTAAATTATACTTGTGCTAATATAGTTGTTTGTGATATTTCTCATAATCCAATACAACATAGTTGAATAAAACATCTTTGAGTGGATGGATTATTTATCAAGGAGAAATTAGAAGAAAAACTTATATAATTGCTTATGATTCTCTTAGATAATCAATTAGTTAATATTCGAACAAATATCATCTCAAATAAAGTATTTTTAAAATTGTGTAATGAGAAATCCTCAATTAGAGATATAATGACATAATAATATATAGAAGAACACAATCCTCACTTTATCAAGAGAATTTATAAGGTTGAATTAAATATTTCATTTTTTAAAAATAAAATAAATCTCAACTCTTCTCACTCACAATTTTTTATTTTAAAATCTGAAAAAGTACATTTAACTCTATTCAAGTAGACCTATTATATATATATATATATATATATATATATATATATATATAATTTTTTTCTACAAAATTTTAAGAAAAATTGTATTTTGCATCAGATGATTTCTTTTTTTTTTTCATTCTTGTGTGATGTATAATAAATTATATAAATATAATTTCTCTTCTCAACGCAGAAAATTACCAAAGAAGAGTGTGTAATTGTATTCTTACGTTTTTTTTTTAAATCTTCTATACAGAAATGAAAATTATGATATTTAATGAGAGCGTTTTTAAGTATTATTCTCTAACGCAGGCATCTTTAAAAGCTTTTACTCTATAACAGTGTTTTGAAGAAATTTTCTTAATTTGTTTCATTTATCATTTTAGTAGTATAAATTTTGTAATCAAAAGTATTTATTTATTATAATTAACTTGTTATATAAAACAAACATTTATTTTTAATATTGAGCAGAATAAAATACTAATAATTTCTATAAACAAGAATGAGACGAAAAGAGAACACTATATAAAGTAAGCATAACGGAAAATAATAGAAGAAGTTGTCATAAAAATCAAACTACTATTTTTTTACAAACACTTAAAAACAAAATAAATAAAAAAACAAGTACTATCTTTACAAAAACTTCATAGTTTTTATATTATAGAAATAAAAAAATAAAAAACAAAACAAAACGTTTTGGTAGGTGAACCAATCTTGCCTTTAAAATCTTCCATTTTTCTGCCAAAAGTGGGAGTCACAGTCACATCCTTGCTAACATCTCCCTCAAAGTAGCCTCAAAATTGCCCTATCTTGTTTTTGTTCATCACTCATTCACACCAAATTCTATGAAATAACCTTTGTTCACATCCTTGCCAACATCTCCCTCACATTTGCCAGCTTGAAAGTTTCCATTTGTCAGTTATCCAAACCCGTACATGTCATTGCAGGCTTTCAAGATTCTATTCACCACAAAATCCAAAACTCTCTCGTCAAATGCAAAGTGGTCCTCATGATTTTCGTCCTTCTCCCTGGCTTTCACACAATAATATAACTTACACGCCTTAATGCATAATTCGTCTCCTTTCTCTGCGTTACACGATAAGAAAGAAAACCATGAGAAACGTTTCAAAGAAGAAATTTTTAACCTGTTTCCGTCCTGGGGATGATATGGATGCCATCCTTCAACCTAGGGCTGTCGTGGATCGCTCCTCTAGTCGTCGTTTCGCCTGCATCCCCGTGGCAGACAGACATGACACCAATAGTTCAGCCACCAAAGCCACGTTTTCTAAGGTGATTTGGTTAGTGTTGTTTTAGTTTCTTTATATAAAACCTACAACATAAAGACATAATTATCATCTTCAATATCTTTGCCTCACAGAACCCAAGCACACGCAGGAAAAATCTCGATAGCCAAAATTGTTTTGGATCAAAGCGTGGTTATTCGGCATACACAGAGAGTTCATCAACCTGTGATGAGAAACAAGTTTTTATGGAGTCTAAAATTAAAAAAATCAAGCCCCCTGAATGGTCTTCGACGATTTCATCTTCAAACTCACCCGTGTCTGAATCAAAGAATATATCCAAGAGTGATTCCACTAAAAAGCAAGAAGAGAAGCAAAATAAGTTTCAGTGCGTAGGAATATACTGGGTTCTCGTAAGCTTAGTAGTTACGGTTTTTTGGGGTAAGATTAATGTCATTATTTGGACATCATTTTTTTTATGTTTTTTCTCTCTTTGGAACGCTTGTTGTTGTTGGCAAAAAGAGGTTCCCAAGTTGCGGAACGTGGACTCCAAAGGCTACAAGAATTGCCGTAGAGACCGTAGTGGAAGGAGTGGTCGGAGTAAGGAACTTTCATAACGGGCATTGAAGCTTTTACGTCAGTGTCCTCCATTTTTGTTCTTGAAGCCAAAATCAATATTTTCCTAGTCGTTACAGAAGAGAGATTGTTAGATACTCTACTAGTATTACATGTCTATGATTTTAATCAATTTTTATATGACGTGTATTTTTATATTTACTAGTAAAAATTAGTATATCTTAGTAACAACTTGGTAAAAACGCTACTTGCACGAGACGCAATTTGAGTCTCATAAATTTTCTGAATTACGTTATATTTAATTTTCAGTTCGTATGCTACAAAGGAACGTTTACTTCAATAATACTACACTATACACTCATGGCATTTGCTTGAATTTGCTCACCAAACATACACTTAAAAGTTTGTGATTATGTTTGGAAGAATAGAAGTTTTTAGTTTTGGAGAATTTAAGGATGAGAAAGTATGTTTTCCGTTTTTTATTTACCTTCTACAAATAATATTTTCAGAAAACTATGTTTTATGGGAATAGATTCCCAAAGAAAGATTTATGTCCGGGTGGTAATCATACTTTTCCAAATTAAATGAAAAAATATTAAAAGAATACCATATTAATTTTATTAAATTATTTAATATAAAATTTCGGCGGAGAATTGTGTGTGTTGTGAAAAATGGGTTGAGTTAATATGAATCTCTAGAGTAGAGTGAATCAATCTAACTTTGAATATTGATTAATGTATTTGGTCCGTACTAAACAAAATTGTGAATTGACGAAACATATTAAAAGTTAAGTATCAACGACAATGAAACAATCATGTATAAAATTTCTTACTCCGGTTATGCAAGTAATAACCTTTGTATTTGAAGTCAACTTCACTCTGAAAAAAAATATCATTTTAAATTTAAAAGTTCAAGTAGGTAATTTTAATTCCTTTGTGCATTTTAGCTTATAACATTAATATGCTAATCTACCCATTTGACGGAAAAAAACAGATAAAACCAACTAATCTATTTTAAAAAATATTTAATCTTAAAACTAAAATAAAAATAATTATAATTAATTTTTTTTCATATATAAAAATATTATAATATTATAATTTAAATTATAAATATTCATCAATTAAATTTAAATTATTAATTATAATTATATATTTTAATATATAAATACAATATTTTTTAATTTATTTAATAAAAATATTAATTATTAAATAAAATCTTAAAAACTATTCATATAATTAAATATGTATCTTTAAAAAAATACATATAATAAAATTTTATATAAAAAAAATATATTAACAAACTAATCCGTTAACCATCATTTGATTTGATAAGATAGAATAAGATTTATAACTCATCTGATTATAGTAAGTTAGACTACACATCTATTTTTGACGTGCTAAGATAGAATAAACCAAACAAAATAAAATAGACGTACCCATTTTATGATCCTTATTCTTTCAACAAATTATTTCACTTTTAAATCATAAAATAGAAACTTATGTACATATGAAGGGTTCAATTAACATAAATTTTGTAAGAAAATTGATAATATCAAAGAAACATATTTTATTTTATTTTATTACCCTAGGAGAATCTTCTGTCAAACAAGAGTACTAAATTTATAGGAAGGTTTAACATACACCAAATAGATAGAAACTTCGTTTCAACTTCGGTTTTCTGCATTCTCAAAAGTCAAAAATCAATTCCTAATCACTCTGGTTAACTAAAGTGAGTTCACTGTCACTCACACTAACCTAAATTTGTTACAAAGAAGCATATCAAGTTCTAAAGCTTTATATATATAATTCTACGAGGATCATAAAACAGCTTTTTAACCAAATGCTCCGTCTAAAACAAAATAATATGTGCACATACAAAACAGACAATTAGTCCACAGCGCATATATCTGTTAGTTTGCAACATTTGGGACAATATTACTTGCTTTGTATTGGAGGAATATTTCTATTGCACCACCATGAAGGAGCAGTAAACCAGGTATAGGTCCAACTGTCTATATCACCATGGAAGCAAAAGGGCTCACCATCCTCATTGCCAAGAGTGAAAATCCCCCAATGGCTTACATTAGTCCTGTTGAAGCCAAAACGGCTCAATATACCTTTTAAATGATCAGAATCCCATTCATTCCACCAAGGAGTAGTTGGATCATTGCAGAAGTAAAGGCTGTTTCTAACTCCAACTCCAAGCTCCTTCGCAGAGAAGGATGTTGAGCAACATCTTCCCAAAAATATCATTTGATCCCCCAAATCCTTAACCTTCTTCCAAGATAACTCACAAAAGTTCAATGCATATACCTCAAATTTTTGGGTCTCAAGTACCGCATCTTGGTTGGGATTGAAATATCTACAAACAAGCAATAGTTCCCCGCATGATTCCACAAGATATCTTAAAATTTGATTGGTCCGACGATTTTGTAATCCTACCCATTCTTGTAACTGAAATATCTCAGGCCTTTTTACTTCATGAAACCGTGTTTCTATCTTGGAAAGTGTTCCAGAATCATCACCACCGTTAATGCTAGAGTAGATACTTTGAACATCAATTTGCCATATATTAAATCCACCATCCAGGAGGTAAAAGCTTCCATTACAAAATACAGCATCCTCAAATGGCTCACCTGTTAGTTCACTATATTTACGCCATGAATTTGCTCCTGTACTCCAAAAAGCCAACTCACGGCAATGACTGTGTAGAAGCATGCAAATAAAGTTATTCTTGTAGGGAAGTCCAGAGAGCACCATCTTGTGATAAAAGTTCCATATTGAAGGGAGAATAATTTGACTTCCTGAAAATGGGTTCAACAAGTTAACTTCAAGATGAAAATTGTCCAGACATTTTACCATAATCAACCAACCACGAAATGATCCCCAACAATACTTTCCACATGCCTCCGGTAACTCAAACTCCCAAACACGATTCTCCAATATACTGATGCAAGTTCTAGTCTCTTTGTTCCGCTGACCTGACACCAATAGACATGGAAATCCATGCCTTTGCCAACAAGGATGTTCTTCTCCAAGAATAGCATTCCAACTCATACAAACTTTGCTCATCGATAACCAATCAACGAAGGTCAGTTTTTCAGCAATCATCTCAACTATACCACGAGGGAGACTAGACCAATCTGCAAAGTGTTTCTTTTCCTGTTTTCTTTTACTTCTGTGGGTTTTTTTTCTGCATGCGGCACAATATCTTCCCCTCATAGATTCCAACGGCAATGAAGAGATACTTGACCAATCTTCATGGTACTTATTTGTCAAGATTCTTTTTTTATTTCTTCTTTTCATCCTTTTGGCAGCAATTTTTGTGATGATAACTTCCAACAGTAACGACCGCATCCTGCTTGATGCTTGAGTGAATGAGACATCATGTGTAAAATGAAAAGATTACTATCAGACTAGTCAGTTGATAGGCTCATAACTCCAACCACTAATGCAACACCACTCGGGCCCAAGAGGACAGGCAATGCCCCATTTTGGTTGGACAACTAGATTTAGTTTTTTTTAGGATAAATAAACTTCTTTCCAGAAAACGGACACATGGCCAAATATCATTTGAGTATGTGCTAGTTGTGATGTAATTATTTGGACTCTAATGGAAAATGGCAAGAAGGAATTTTCTTCCAGTATGTTATCATTGGAACCTTAGGTTTTCTTTACTATTTTTCTCCTCCTTCATCTTTGATACTAGTCAGCCTTCAAATTTTTGGGAAGCACTGGGTTTTGGTTAAACTATTGCTATTTATTTTTCCATGAGACTAATGATGATGTTAGTGTATCACACATTACTCCTCACAAAACAGTGAGAATGGATAAGTGTCGTATAACATATCTAAATGAAATTTAAAAGGAATGACATGTCAAAAGATCTAGGAAGGACAATAACAATCACAAAAACAATTTATGTAACTATCTGTCCATTCCTTTCACACAAGATGACTTGCTGCAAAGCCTGATCAGAGTTAAAATGGGTACACTCACGAGCACATATTTGTGAGGGAAACCAATAAAAATGTTAGAATATATGAAAATATTCAAAAATATCTCATCATATCTTGGATTATCCTTTAAAATTAGTTTTCTCAATTCTTTATTATCTCGGAATAGTACTGATTACTGTATTTTCTTATCTTATCTTATCATGATATGTTTCTCTAATAAGTAATTAGTCAGGATAGTGATTAGCAACATTGGATGGGTATGGTACCGGTACCAGTACCAGTACCAGGTATGGGATATAGAATTTTTCAAAAATCTACAGTACGTACAGGCACACTAGTATTGTATATTTTTTAATTATTTTTACTAAATATCATGTTAACCTGAATTATTTTTTACTAAAACGGCCAGAATATAAATACTTTTCAAGATTCAAAGTTAGGGTGCTAAACATGTAAAATGCAGAAATTTGAATATAAGCCACACAAACAGGGGATAAAATAAAAAATGTTGGCCGAGCCAATGCAAAGTCCTACCACAATACAATCATGTTGAATGTCACGTCTCTCTAATGTACCACAAATTCAGTACAGAAGAGGATCAAGAATGTCCTAGACTGACTTTGGTAAAAGGTTTATCGAAGCCTTGAAAGTTGAAACCTACTCACCACTTGCATCATTAGGCTAAGTTGCAGAGAGAATAGTATATGTTGCAATTCACAAAGTAATATGATCCTCATTTTGTTAACTTGGACAACAAATCACAATGCTCTGTTTAGTGATTAATAATAATATGAAACACACACAAACTTAGGAACCAAACAGGTCATTCATAACCTAGGAGTAGTCATTAGACAAAAAAAACCTAGCAAATAATAGTGTAAAACATTCCTATAACATAGTTATCCAATCTTTAACAAAATAAAAATATAAATTCACAGTGAGAGCTCGAGATACAGACACAAGAAGAGAGGGAAGACGAAACCGTGAAAGAGTTGAATGATGACTAACCTGGTATCCCCTTTCACCAGATAGCACGAGGAAGCTGAACAACTAATATCAACATATTAAAAAAAAAAAAAAAAAACACGCTGGGCTTTAGTTCAAACAAAACCCACGAGGTCAGACCCAAATTCATTTAATTAAGCATTTAGTGTCCTTTTGGGCTAATGAATTGGTCCCAAGTCAAATTTCTACTTTAGATTAACTTAAAAACATAATTTAATTTATTAAAATAATCAAACTTATTTTGTTTTAATGTTAAACTAAAAATATTTTAATAATTTATATTTATATGTTTTCTTAATAAAAAAATAAAATAAGGAAAGAGTTTTTATGCACGTGTAAAAAAAAATTATATTGAAAATGTAAAATAAAGGTGTTAACTTTTACAATCAGTATTTTAAAAATGTAATGCATATAATTGTTTTAATTGGTTGAATATAAGAAATGCATTAATAATGTATATAAATTAAAAAATAATAATTTAAAATTACTTATGTACAGTATACTGGACAAACTATTTTATGAGGATTTTGAGGAAAGAAAAAATATAATATATATATATATATATATATATATATATATATATATATTTTGATAAGTTAAAATTAGTTTATACATAAATAAAAAATAAAAAAAAATATATATGAAAAATATAATAAATTACTTTTATTTTTATATAAATTAATTTTAAAAAATTTAAGTTTATTTAATTTATTTCTTATTTTATTTTCTTATGACTATTTTTAAAAAGAGTTTGGCTACTCTTATATTATTTTTAGTGAGAAAAAATTCATTTTATTTATTAAAAAATATAACTAAATTGGTTAATTAGATACTTAAGTTATGATAAATTGACATAGGATAGGTTAGGTTTGGTGTTATTTATTTATTTATATATATATATATATATATATATATATATATATATATATATAAATAAATAAATGGAGCCCAAGAATATAAAGAGTAGCACACCTTCATATGAGATTAATCAGATGATCTAAAAACATACTTATTATTTCATAAAAGCTATCAAACTTAATTTAGAAAAAAAAAAATTAGTATCCAATAATTGAGTTGGCTTGATCCTATCCAATCCTAACTTTTATATTTATCAATGTCTATATTCTCGATTTCTGTCAGGAATTAGAAACTCGGTGTTTCTCCCTATCTTTGGATTTTTTTTTGCTTTCAATTTAAACTAGAAATTTTCATTTCATGAGAATATTTTTTGTAAATTTTTTATAAAAATTACAAAAATAAGTTTTTTGTAAATTTAAACAATTTTTTTATAAGAAAATTTGTAAAAAATGATTTTTTTAATATAATTATATAAATTATAATATTTTTATTTACTATTTCTCATATACAAATAAATTTTATAAAATTTTAAATTATTATTATTAATTAAATATATATTTTAATTTATTATAAATTAAAATATGAATGGATAAAATAATATCTGATATTTGTTTTGTACGTAAATATGTAATACTTATAAGATTGTTGTTATTATATATTATAATAATATACTGAAATATTTGATTATATATAAAACTAATTATTTATTAATATATTATTTATAAATATAAAATAAATAGATTATACAAAAATTTTATTATATAAGCACATCCATGATTGGTAATGAAGTTTATCTATTATGTTTCCTGTTACAGCATTATAACGTTTTCTTAGAACAAAATGAAATTCAAATTTTCTTCAAAAGATGTCCACCTTTCATATTTGATGATTCCAAAGAATATTTGAGAGAATATATATATATATATATATATATATATATATATATATATATATATATATATAGTATTTAAATCAAGTAAACAATTTTTCATTTTTTTTAATTTTAGAAATAATTGGTTTTTCAGTATTCTTTAATCAATACATCTTTATTTACAATATAATTATAAAGCTAAAAATAAAAAATATAATTTTCAAAAACATTAAAAATTCGCTTACCAAACAAAAAATAGTATATATATTAAAATTTGATTATAACCTTCTAAAAAAATATTAATATTTGATTCTTACATATATATATATATATATATATATATATATATATATATATATATATATAAAAGAAAGTAATTAAATTTTAAACAAATTTTATCCAATATAAATGGTTAGTTTAAAGTAAGATTACTATTATTATATTCATTCATCTTCTTATAAAAAAACCATTACTTCATATATTATACCTGTTAGTTACAGCTCTTTTTTTTTATATGTAATCACACATTGAAAAATAATTAAAATTTTGATTACGATAAGAAATTATTTGAAACCATCTTATAAAGTAAATTAATTATTTTTTTCAAAAAGTATTTTTTGATTATATATAGACATTAATCAATTTTTATTTTTAAACTCTGAAAAAATTATCATTAAATTATTTTACAGCAAAAACTCTTTTCTTTTTTATTTAAAACAAGCTAACTTAAACGACCAGCACAAAAAATTCACAGCCCAAACAAGTTTACAGATTACAACCACCAAACCAGGGTTAATAAAATTTGTGAACAAGTTAACATCTCAGTGGAAGTTCTTCTTGTGACTGAGTTTTGTTTCTTTTCTGTGCTAAATTAAACTAACAATGATTAGTTTAATACAATACAATAAAGATCGTACCATAAATCCTATTGAACCGTCACATTTGACCAAGAGCATGATGAAACAAGATTCGGCAAACCAAAAGTATTGTATAGAAAAGTCAAAACAAAAACAGACCAAGAAGTCAGGTTGTGTTGGTTTTGTGTTATTCATCTTTTATTTGTATGCTCACTGCAATTATTCATTGGGACTTCAAACATGAAAAACCCGAGGTTCTCTCTTTCTATTCTCGTTCTGTTTTTTTCTTTGTACACCCATCTTTCTCTAGCTGCTCTCTCCACCGTTTCTGCTGATCAAACACTCACCGGCGATCAAACTATCGTCTCTGAAGGTGAGGTCTTCGAACTGGGTTTCTTCAAGCCAGGTAATTCCTCGAACTACTATATAGGCATATGGTACAAAAAGGTCACCACAAAAACAATAGTTTGGGTAGCAAATAGAGACAACCCTGTCTCAAATAAGAACACTGCCACGTTTACAATATCAGGTGGTAATTTAGTTCTCTTAGATGGGTCTTCTAATCAAGTTTGGTCAACAAACATGACTTCTCCCAGGTCAGGTTCTGCCGTGGAAGCTGTTCTTCTAGATTCCGGAAATTTTGTGTTAAGATATAGACCTAATGATGATACTTCGGAGCCTCTGTGGCAGAGTTTTGATCACCCGACGGACACTTTCCTTCCGGGTGGAAAAATTAAACTCAATAATAAAACAAAGAAACCACAATACCTCACTTCATGGAAGAACATAGAAGATCCTGCAACGGGT